AGCCCTCTGTATCCCCCTTCGTATTTTATGCTGTCCGGATGCGTCTTTATGATAGAAACTGAATTTGCACAAATATTTCGTTAGTAGATGTACGAAAAGGAATTTCAATATGTCGCCACTTGACTACCTCCCCATTGATTAGCGAAGAGTCAATGTGTGCTAGCTCTAAAAAATGCATGTATTGAGTTTTGTTAAAACTCCAGATTAGCTTACTGACGGGACTACTTAGATATCCTTGGCCTCATTCCATTCATTTATACATTGACTTTACGAATAGAAGCGAATATGCGTGCCCCAGGTTCGTGTCGTAAATAAGAGGAAGACGCGATCTCTGGAACGATAGTATTATTCTGAGCTTTCGGCTCCACACGGGCAGCCATCGTCAGAGAAAATGAGAACAGCAAGCGTCAGCTACGCGTAAATGGGGTTGGTAGGGGGGGGGAGTGGCAATTATTGATTGGTCTCTGTCCACGCCAGGTCCATTCTCACGCTATCTTATCGGGTCTCCAACGCGCGTCTCTGGAGTAACGGCGTGGGACCTTGACGTGGTAGACTGCATGCTTGTAGAGGAACTGGGCCCTGGTTTCTGGTCACGGGCACGGATGGCAAAATAAAAATCAATAATCGCCACCCCCGCCCCCCTACCAACCCCATTTATGCGTAGCTGACGCTTGCTGTTCTCATTTACTCTGACATAGCTTCTCGTGTGGAGCCGAAAGCTCTGAATAAAACTGTCTTTCCAGAGATCACGTCTTCCTCTTCTTTACAACACTGACTATAATTTTTTTAAATATAACTTCCTTTCACAGTCGAACATGCCATTCTTTGAAAAATAATAAATTAAAAACTTCGGTGCAACTCTGGGAATGGATGCGTTTAATTGTGTACTCAGGTGCGATATCTTCTTTATGGTATAAGAATTTGTCAAATCCCGGCTGGCTTTGATTTAATCTTCGATACCTGTATCTAAAGTTGAACTCATGGACCGTGTCTCCTAGGTGTGAGTAGGAAATTTCAATAATTCGTCGCCTTGTCCTATAGCCAGCTTATGTCATATTTCATCTAGCCAGTTTATAGGCACCCAACCTACTGCACGTATGGAATCCACCATTACGGACACAGGAAGCTGACTACCCAGGCAGGATTTCTTAAGCAATCAATCTAGAATTCACCAGAATAGCTGCTAGGCCCATTAATTGTTCGGAGGGTTTGGCAAATTTGAGTAATTCAGTCGACCCAATTGTGAAAAAAACCGGTAGCCTCGGTGGGACTCGAATCCACATCATCACGGAAGGCTTTAGTACAGCCGACGCTCTACCAACTGAGCTACGAAGGCACGCTCAATTTAATCACACTTGGGTCGATTTACCAGCCCAGCCTTCTACCGATGTGGGTTCTAATCCCACTGAGGCCTCGCATGTTTCTCATTTCGGTCAACTAAATGTTTGAAGTCTGCCAAACCCTCATAATAATATCTCCGTCTTTTATTTAGCACTTGCAGTAGATTCCCTATCTCATGAAATGTCCCCCAGAATTCTAAAATGCGTTTTCGCTTCAAACATATTAATTACGTATGGTTGTTATAATGAAAATCGTAGAGCCTAGCTTCAATATATTTTAGTCACGTCAGGATACCGACTTTTTAACGAGCTTATTTCTGACAGCTAATAAAACGTGTGTACTGTAAAAAGTGGCTACTTAAGTAGTAGGCATTTTTATCATGGATTTTGAGAGCCTTTATAAATTCCAATGTCTTATATGGAAAACATG